AACTGTGCATCTTTCAAAAACGCAGTGAGGCTGATCTGGATGTGGGATGTTGTTGATGGTGTTGTTGGTTGAATTTGTGATTACTGATAAGAAAAGAAAGAGAATCTCTGTATAGCGTCTTTTTGTAAATATCGTGACATTTATTTTGGTCTTTTTCTTTTCTATTCACCTTACCCACACAGTGTTGTGTTGCTGTTGTAAAGTTTTCATCAGATTGTTTTTCTTTTAACGTGGCTGTGTGTTTTCGCCCATTATTGTAAATATTGTACATATCACTTCATTTCAGCACGGAAGCTGTAGGGGTTGGGTGCCACTATTTTTTGTAACCTAGGCGTTTTCTCCTGTTTTTGGGCTAGTCAGGGAGTTAGTTCAGTCCCTGTATTAATTTGTTTGAACTTTTTCTTTTTAGGGTAGTAAGATTCTTTGGTAAAAAGGTAGTTACTTTTTTTGTTTATTATTTTGGCCTTGGCCCAACCCTGAAGCCCATTTGCCCTATTTTGTGTACTGTTTTATTGCCATTGAACTTGACTAGTTAAAATTCAAATAAAGACAGAACGAAAAATCACAACACCCCAGTGTAAAGATCTTTATGTTATTCTTCTAGACCCTAGACCTGGGAGGTAACAGTTTCCAAACTTTTTTTGTAAGCTGAACTTATTAGACGTAAAATATTTATTGAAATACCCCCTGAAAGTTGATATTTCAATAATTTAATGACATGCACATTTCGCATGTTCTGAAATTGTTTAGTTTAAACTTATTAATAGTTTAAACTTATGAACATAGTGCACAACTTGACCAAAAATATATTGTGATTATTTTTATGTTTTAATTTAGTATGAAAATGTCTTATATTGCTACTTCTACTGAGACATCCAGACAAAAAGAAGAAAAAGAAAAGAGCCAACAAGCAGTACAAGTTAGGATCACAGGAAAACACATTGCACTCACAGTGCTTGCAGAGATCAGTTCATGAGAAACAGCCTTTACTGTGAAATGAGCCTATGAAACACAGTATTATTAACTAATAAAATATGAATTAATAATCAGCTTTTCATAAACTTACAAACCTCCTGCAATTCCCTCACAAACCTCCATGGGTTTGCCAAGCCCTGTTTTGGAAACCCTGCTTTAAGCTATAACTTGAACACTAGACGTCCTGGACATTACAAATTGTAAATGGTAATGCTAATAACTGATTGTTGTTATTATTAAAAATTGTGAGTGGTGATTAATTGGAATGTGTAAGAGATACTACAGTACATTTCACCTTTGTAATTTGTAAAACAATTCTGTAAGGAGACATGGATTTGTATTAATTTAGAGGCTGTATTTATGTTGACATTTTACAGAACACTATAAAAAGTGAATAAAAGGGTTTAAAGAACCTCTTAAGTTAATCTGAAGCAAGCCCTGGGGCCGCTCCAAAGCTCTGATTGAAAAATTGCATTAATATTAAAGAGTACTACTTACACTTTATATCATAATTGAAAAACTAAACTTCATGGACCAGGTGAATCATTATTCAGAGGACTAAAATCATAATGATTTATACACAGGCACCCAGAACTAAAACAAGACTATTACTCTCCACTATTTACTTGTTTCCTTTTAATTTGTCATTTTAATTTATCTCTTCAATAAAAGCTTTCAATTAGGATGCATTCCAAATGAACGTCTCTCTGCACTCTGCATCAAATGCTGGCAACTCTGTGATGTGCGATAACTCCCAACCTTTTAATTATGAGTGGCTTCAAGCAGTGACATTCCTGACAACTCCCAGCTGATGAAATGTCTGGAAACATTGCATGGTTATATTACAGGCTACCTCGCCAGCTGATGTGTATTTCCACAATACACATACCTGGGGAGTGATATTACACTTCTCTTTTCCAGCTTAATAATGTAAATCTTTAGTTACAGTCACCTTTGTGCCACTGGTCTCTAAATGAAGACCTTGGCTTTGTTCTGCCGTCACTTTACTGTTGGTACCAATTAGACCGATGTGCTGAAAACAGATTTTTTATTTTTTTTTAACCGTGGAAGATTTAACGATTTCCCCTGTAGACCAATAGATCTGCACTGTGATTTAGAGCTTTTCTCTGTGATGACAGACGGTTATATACTTCCCAGAGAATTGACCAGTGTGTGACTATTTATGTGACACACACAGAGTGTGTTTTGTAGCTCTGAGATACACATTGTGTCAACACAGACCTCAATTTACATACAGTGGTGTGAAAAAGTGTTGGCCCCCTTCCTGATTTCTTATTTTTTTGCATGTTTGTCACACTTTAATCTTTCAGATCATCAAACAAATTTAAATATTAGTAAAAGATAGCACAAGTGAACACAACATGCAGTTTTTAAATGAAGGTTTTTATTATTAAGGGAAAACAAAATCCAAAACTACATGGCCCTGTGTGAAAAAGTGTTTGCCCCCTAAACCTAATAACTGGTTGGGCCACCCTTAGCAACAACAACTGCAATCAAGCGTTTGCGATAACTTGCAATGAGTCTGTTACAGCGCTGTGGAGGAATTTTGGTCCACTCATCTATGCAGAATTGTTGTAATTCAGCCACATTGGAGGGTTTTCGAGCATGAACCGCCTTTTTAAGGTCATGCCACAGCATCTCAATAGGATTCAGGTCAGGACTTTGACTAGGCCACTCCAAAGTCTTTTGGAGTGGCCAATGGCTCTCACTGTGGTTCGCTGGAGTCCCAAAGCTTTAGAAATGGCTTTATAACCTTTTCCTTTTGTTTCTGAATTTCTTTGGATCTCGGCATGATGTCTAGCTTTTGAGGATCTTTTGGTCTACTTCACTTTGTTAGGCAGGTCCTAGTTAAGAGATTTCTTGATTGCGAACAGGTGTGGCAGTAATCAGGCCTGGGTGTGGCTAGATAAATTGAACTCAGGTGTGATAAACCACAGTTTTAACAGGGGGGCAAACACTTCTTCACACAGGGACATGTAGTTTTGGATTTTGTTTTCCCTTAATAATAAAAACCTTCATTTAAAAACTGCATGCTGTGTTTACTTGTGTTATCTTTGACTAATATTTAAATTAGTTTGATGATCTGAAACATTAAAGTGTGACAAACATGCAAAAAAATAAGAAATCAGGAAGGGGGCCAACACTTTTTCACACCACTGTATAGGATGAGTACATGAAGTGAAGGTGCAAAAGAGGCGTTGTTTTATGGAAGGCAACAAAAGCGTTTTTATTTTCTTGCATTTCGGCCCAATATAACAGACCTGTAAGTGAGGAAGTCTTTGCATCAGTTCAAAACCCACATTATTTCCCATGGGAGGTCTAAGCACAGACTGTACATCCTCGAAGGCAGTCACAGATGCCATGAAGGCGGTTGTTATTCTCATTTTACCTACTACTAACCTCTAGAGTGGTTATGTGTGAGTCTGGTATTGCAAAAGCAATGGTGGAAATAAAAGCAATGATCCGAAGCACTGAATGCCAAGCACAAGCCATTATGAAGCACCTGAATATGTATTACAAATCATAGAATTGTTGAATTACTGTTAGAAAAGTATGTTGATTAAAAAATCTTGCATTGCCTTATGCTTTGTGAAGTTTTCCTTTCAGGAGTTAAGTTGAATCATTTCATTTAAAAGAAGTGTGCTTCATTGTATTAAATGTGCACTAGGCCTGTATACTTCAAATTTGTAATGTTTATGCATTTTAAATGTTTCATGTTCTGTACATGCAGATTGATATAATAATATAATATTACTGAAATAAAAGACTGCTTAGTTGTACTGAAACGGAGTACTCTTATTTCTTAAGTTAATTAATTTCATAAATACTTCTATTGTTTTTGAAATATGGTTAGTACTGCCAGATGTACTGACAGGCATTTAAGGTTAAATAAAATATACTTTAAATACACAACATTTAATACATATCAGTTGGCACCTGTATATCATGCATTGAAACATATTTGTAATTACACCAGTGTACGATAAAGTTGCTATTTTTAAGGTGTCCTTGTTACACTGTAACTATATATTTGTTTAGAATTATGCATGCGATTATGCATAATTTATTGTTATTACTATAACGAAGTACATGAAACAAATGTAACATGGACACTAAAATAAAGTTTACCAATGTAACATATTTACAATATTTTAACCTAACTTAACTTCGTAATATCAAATAACACCCTGCAGTTAAAACGATAGCAATTACTTTACACATGCTTTAGTATGTTAGTCCACACATCAAAAAAAGTGTACTTTTTTAAAGCATAACAAAAGATTTATAATACATGATTTAAAATATACTTTAAAATAAAACTTTAATTTGGAATTATTACAAAAGTGCACTTTTTAAAAGTTTCCTTAACTGCGTTAAGAAACATGGTCATGAAAGTATACTCTCCATAAATGGATTTTTATTTCATTAATATTATATTATCTGCAAGTACAGTATTTTGAAATAAAAATAAATACCCCATTCATTATCTTTTATTTCTGTCTTTGCTCTTAAGCATTTGTATCCATTTGAATGTCTAATAAGAACTAGCTGTACATGTTGTTATGAGATACCAGTACCAATGTTTTTTTTTTATTAAATCTAATAATAATAATAATAATAATAATAATAATAAAAATACACCATTTACTTTCCAAATACACCATCTTATTTTGTAGAGATGCATCAATTCACCAGTGCACATTTAAATAAATAAATAAATAAAATGTTTGTCTTTACAATTTTTAACTTAAAATGTAATAAGTAGCTTCGGCTCTGTAACAACAGTGCGCTGTGAGTCTTGATTATAAAATAAAACAGCAGTTTTGATAAGAAAATGTAATTTTTTTTGTCTATTGATTATTGTTAACAAACAGCAGTAGTCTTTATAAATAAATTAGCAGCTGTCTAGACAGCTCAGTAGGCTCATTAGACAACTATTGTTTGGACACAGCATTATAATACAAAGTACATCATCAAAAAAAAAACCCACAACACCACGTTTATGCATTGTATTTTCTTTAGTACTTACATATAAGGAGGGAAATACAACAGTTGTTTTCTAGGGAGGATACAGGATGTTGTAACAGTGCTCTGTACATTAAGGGTGTGGCAGCACAAGGCTGACAGTACCGTGCTTCAGCAGGTCAGAGAGTACAGCTCAAATCTACACCACAACACAGCATGTGGTCAAGGCAAAGGCCTAGTAGCAGCTCCTCTTGAGAAAAAATTAAAGCGCAGATATCGCAACTGCTGTTTCATTTACATACATACATCAGTTTAAAGTAGAAAACAATATGAAACCAAAAATGTCCTGATAGTGATGTTACACTTAGGAAAATAATTTTAGGAAACAGAAAAGTGTATGAGCTGCTACCAGAGACTTGCTAGTAGTGATATCGAGTCTTACGTACCCCATCAGAAGACTTTAATAATACAGTGGAAATTATGTTTATTTTGATCGTACAGTTGAAAAGTTTACATTCAGTTCTGAGCCTCCATAAAGGTCAAGTGTGGGTCAAACTAAACCACTGACCAACACTCCAACTGTCTATCAAAACCTAATACCTCGACATGTTACATCATTTCATCACACGTCATGACTGAGGGTTTACTCATCAGAATCCTTTGAGAAAAGGGTGAAGGGGGTTACAAATCAGAGGACAAAGGTGGAGAGGTGTCAGTAATACGTTTTCTGTGACTTTTATCTGGAGTGCAAAGGACCCCTGATTAAACTAGGGGTGAGTTTAAAAAATGTTATAATAAAATCTATAAAACAAAGAAACAAAATATAGGTGTTCCTTCCTGGTTACAGGAAAATGATTAATAAGACTATTAAAACAAACTCATGGGTAAATCCTGCATGTTTCAAATACAGCACAGTGGAAAAATAAACATTTAATACAGTGCATGAATTTAGACGTCCTGAAGAAACTGAGGGGGGCGGACTGTAACCCTGAAACTAACTTGTGATAGGTCAGCAGCAAAACAGATTTTTTTTTTTCGTGCCTCACCACAAAAAAAGCTTCCAGACCCGTTACCAGCTTACCCCTTTCTAAACTAGTAAATGTTTAACATTTCGGGCTTGATCTACTGTGCTACCGCATTTTCTTTAACAAAGCTCTAGCGAGCTTCAAAGTTAAAAAGAAATAAACAAACCCCAAAACCTGCAATTTACATTGTGGCAGATGTTACATCTAGTTTTGAGATATTTCTTGGTATATTAACGAAAGTAACCGTGGTGGCTATATCGATATCTGGGGCGGATCTACTTCAACACAATAATCAATTTGCATAGCATTTTATCCTTACCAGAGATCTTAACTCTATTACCACCTGCATGGGAATTCATGGTGAGATCAGTAAAGAGAGAGAAAGAGAAAGAGAAAAGAGAGCCTCACTGAAATTCAAGTATCTGGCTGCCGAGTCCCTATATGGCATCTGCCTCCCCTATTCCTCAGGCTAACTGAGTAATCAAGAGTTAAGCTTCAGCAGTCGTTATGTACTGAGCATGGTATGTACATAGGAGGGAGGGTCTGGCACATGCATGTAATGCATGGTAACATGATATGTCCTCTATTATCATTTATGTATGATTAGATAATTCTCACAATACAAACATATACAAAGTAAAAAAGAAACAAAAGAGTGCTAATTGTGCCTCCAAATCTCCATTCATGCAGAGGAATGTTGGAGAAGATATCTAACTCCACAATGTACAAGCTCCTGCCTTTCCCATGCTGACACGTGTTTAATTGAGATACAGACTTCTGTAGAGTTGCCCCTGCTTTGGCCCTTACCAATGTGGACAAATGTGGTGTCAGCACAGAGCGAGGTTGTGACGATTGAGATCCTTTTAATAAGGCATTACACTTAACCAAGACAGTGAGAGAAGCAGAGGTGACATCCAGATTGAGAATGAGTATGAAATACCAAAGACAGAAGAAGAACTAATTCAGCAACCAAGGCATGTGTTGAACCAAGATAACACTGAAAAGAGGGGCAGGGGGATAAAACCATTCAACATTTCCAACACTGACAGAAAGAATCCATGGCACGTTCTAACGAACGTCCCTGACAGTGTCTGTGTCAGGTTTATCAACAATGGCATGAAAATGATCCATCTTAAACACAAATCTGGGACAAAAGTAGAATCTGCACTTCAAAGGCCTCTTTGTTGGAGAAGGATCTGTTGAATTAAAAAAAGAGAAGAAGAAGAAAAAGAAGAATGGACACAGTGCCAAGACTCCAGGCATTCCTCTGAGAAAGATCCTATCCACAGTAGGGTGACCACACATGATTGAGTACTTCAGGAATCCATTTTGATATCAGTGTTCACAACAGAAATTCTATGTTTCCCTTAAAGATTGTACACTCACCCTTCTACTGAGCAGCAATCATACACACCGCTAAAGCCATTTTTGCTAGAATCCCTTAGACTCGTCTTTGGCTTCCCTGGCAGCGTCATGAATATTTTTTAGTTCGTACAAGTGTCAATGTGTAAGGGAAACAGCACTGTGCAGAAAACCCCAACAAAACTGGACATTGGGCCTTGCTTGTTTTTCTTGTGAAAGATACCTCCTCTAGAGTGAAAATTAAGAGAGAAAAATAGAAAGGAACGTCTTTAGAAAGCACATAGCCCGGTCAGGCTATTTCCTTTATCCTGCGCATGTAGTCGTGCAGTTCCTCTGGGTCCTGAAAGCCCATGTCTTGGCATACCCACTGAATGTCCTCTTCGTTGGCAATGGGGATGGAGTTGTAGGGTAAATCCTCCGTGGGAAGAGTGAAGGTGGTAAACTTGACACGCTTGCGTTTGGAGGTCGGTGAGCTGGCTTCCTCTCCGTGGTCTTTGGTGGAACCTCCGGAGCTGCCATCTCCTCGGCCATGGACTTGGCTTTGTACACTAGTCTGGGAGCTGCCGCTGCTGTGGTGGTCCCCATGACAACAAGACTGTACCCCCTCCAAGGTGTTGCTGGGGCTCTCCACCGTCTGAGGCGAGAGATCGCTCTGGGTGCGCAGGGGCTCTCCGTTACCCAAGAACACCCAGTGGTGGGAATGGTCCATGTTGGCTTGGCCTTCAGGAGGGATGCGCTTATGGCGATACTTCAACACAAACACAATACAGTTTATCAGAAAGACCAGTATGGCGAGACAAAACACCCCAAGGAGAGCATACATGCCTATCTCCAGGTCGGTCATGCTACGGGGACTGTGCACAAATTCGTCATCCTCCTCGTCTTCTTCGGTTGGTTCCTCTGGATTGCTTACTGTAGGAAAGTTGGTGTAATCGATGGGCACACTTGCGGGCTGCTCATTAGATGCTTCATACCCTCCACCACCTGCGTTGGAATCGATAACGGGCCTTCTCGTGTTGGCAGGCATTCTAGTGTCTATTTCAGTCTCTGTATCCACTTCCTCCTCAGAGTCTTCATCCGGTCCAAAGCGGACTTTGACGAACACAGGAGAAGAAGCAATGACACTCTTGCGTTTAGTCTTCTGGCAGGTTTCGCTGATGGTCATCTCCACGTGCACTACCTCTCCTGTGCCCTCGCCTTCGGCCACGATGACTGGCCACCGCTGTTGAGGTTGTTGAGCCACTGTAACCACCTTATCGTCTGCTGTGGTGGCATTGAGGTTGTAGTCTTTTGGGTCATACATACTCAGGGGGGCGGCGGTATTGTCGCTGTAGTAAACCCAGATGGACAGACTGGCCTCCTACAAACACAAAACGAAAGAAATTGTGAGCATGAATTCAACCCTTACACACCCTGTAACAGTTAATTTTTTTAACCTGGCTTCAAATTCTTTGGTGCCTGTGATGCATTCTAAATGGGGTTGCGCATGGAACAAGATCGTTTTTTGAGTTAACACCATTGATTATTGTGTTGTGTTGACTTAAACTGCTTTGGTGAACTGTTTCATCCAGTTAACTAAAAAAGAACCAGTTCGCAAACCGGACATCACTCCAGACTGTTTGCCTGAGGCTATAGATTACAGATAATAATGTTGTAAATAATGTTCAGTTTCTTGCACAGACTGATCGTTTCACTTCAGACCTCAATATATCGTCAAGAGCCAGGGGTATTCATTTTGTGTTCTTTGATATGCTTTTTTTATTATGAAAAATGGGTAGCCACTAGGGGTGGGAATCTTTCGTCACCTCACAATTCGATTCACGATTCTTAGGGTCATGATTAGATTAAAAACGGATTAATTATTTTTCGATTTTTAATCATAGGCCTCCTACAAACACAAAACGAAAGAAATTGTGAGCATGAATTCAACCCTTACACACCCTGTAACAGTTAATTTTTTTAACCTGGCTTCAAATTCTTTGGTGCCTGTGATGCATTCTAAATGGGGTTGCGCATGGAACAAGATCGTTTTTTGAGTTAACACCATTGATTATTGTGTTGTGTTGACTTAAACTGCTTTGGTGAACTGTTTCATCCAGTTAACTAAAAAAGAACCAGTTCGCAAACCGGACATCACTCCAGAATGTTTGCCTGAGGCTATAGATTACAGATAATAATGTTGTAAATAATGTTCAGTTTCTTGCACAGACTGATCGTTTCACTTCAGACCTCAATATATCGTCAAGAGCCAGGGGTATTCATTTTGTGTTCTTTGATATGCTTTTTTTTATTATGAAAAATGGGTAGCCACTAGGGGTGGGAATCTTTCGTCACCTCACAATTCAATTCACGATTCTTAGGGTCATGATTAGATTAAAAACGGATTAATTATTTTTCGATTTTTAATCATGATTCACGATTTTTCATCACATTTTTTGTGCACACTGGACAACAAATGCACCAGTATTTTGATACAAAACACACCAGTCTATAGTATGGGTAGTCCTGACTCAAGAAATCAGTGTTTCCTATTAACTATTAACCTCCTAATAAATAAAAAATATTTGGGATGTGCCCGAATCCGAATAATACCATGTTCAGAAAGGAAATGACTTCGGCAGTACTTACCACATATTTTACAAGATTAGATGTTTGTCAGTGGTGCTCAAGATCTTCAAATCATTCGCCATTGTCCTATCAGTCATCTCTTCTTACTCTGTTTATGTGGTAAGTTAAATTTTATGTACTGTAATGTTTTTTTTTGTTCCGACAACATCAAGTTATTATTATTATTATTATTATTATTAAATTAACTAGAAAAAATGATTTTGGAAATTTGTGAATCGATGCGAATTGGTAGAAGACTGAATTGTGATTCATGTGTGAATTGATTTTCCCCCCACCCCTAGAGGCCACTGACTTGCATTTTTTTTTAAATCACCAAGCACCACAGTTTCAGTTAAAAATCTTTACTGTTCTACTGAAGAGAAAAAGTCACTTGCTGCACATCACGGATGGCCTGAGTGGCAGTAAATTAACTGCAAATTTTCAGTTTTGGGTGAACTACCCCTTCAACTTTACACTCTCTTTAATAAAAAACATGAGTAGCACTCACTGATGCGAAATAATTTTGAGTAGCCTCTAAAGTCGTAGCTGGGTGGTATACTGTATGTACAGTACATTCAAACAAAACAATGATTTTGAATTTTATGGTGTTATACATTGTCAACTTGTTGCTCCAGGTAGATGTCTGTGCAGGACTATTTTTTTAGTCCCGTTCCCGCCTGCTTCCGCAAGGTTATATTCCGCACCCACCCGCTCCCACTATATATTCACTCTTTGCTCACCCGCTGTCTGCTAAGAATAATTTTCTTCCCGACCCGACCGCTCCCGCTAAATTTAGATCTCATTTCCAGAATCTCACATTTAAATTTCCGCTACTGAAAGAAAGAGAGATAGGCTAACAAATAAAAGTGTAGTCTGCACAAAATTGTATGTTATTTTATTTTTCTTGTCAACAGTCTTGAATTTATTGACTTTGACTTAAATTTATATTAATTATCTTAAGACACAAAATTTGTTTAATATTTTATGCAACACAGTATGAAAAAAGTGTCAGAGAAAAAATTTTTTTTTTAAAAAATTGTATATCTTCATCTTGTCAGGATACAATTCGTTTAACATTTACAAAACAATATTAAAAAGTGTCGTAGAGAGAGAAAAAAAGTATGTTGTACAAAATAAAAAACATTTAGACTTAAATTTATATTAATTATCTTAAGACACAAAATTTGTTTAATATTTTATGCAACACAGTATGAAAAAAGTGTCAGAGAAAAAAAAAATTTGTAAAAAAATTGTATATCTTCATCTTGTCAGGATACAATTCGTTTAACATTTACAAAACAATATTAAAAAGTGTCGTAGAGAGAGAAAAAAAAGTATGTTGTACAAAATAAAAAACATTTACCACCGGTACAGCTTGCTCTGAGCATCGTTATGCACATGCTGCGCACAGACCCCGCAAATAAAACGTGTGACGCAGAAAGCATGCGTGCAGCGCGTGCATAACAGTCCGAGTGCAGGCTGTACCGGTGGTCAATAAGAATAAAGCGCAGATATGCTGTTCTGAATGGACGTCGGGAACAGGATTTTGTTAGACCTCCCGTTCAAATTACACCAGAGTTACCGACCGCTACCGCGTTTTATTTGGGAATTTAATATTGGGAATGCAGACCTCTAGCTCCAGGTGTGCTATGCCAACGCTAGCTCGGATGTTGCATTAAGGGGATCCTTAATGCAACATCAGAGCTAGCGTGTTAGCATAGCACACTGTTTCAAATGCTAAAATGTTTTACAACTTTTGGTAACACTTTAACTTAAGGGCCCATTCTCACTATTAGCCAGTTGCTTATTAGAAGTATATTGCTAGCATATTAGCTGTTTATCAGTACTTATAAAGCACATATTAACGCTTTATTCTGCATGACCATATTTTAGATCTCTTAATTCAACCCTATACCTTAACTTAACCACTACCTCAATAACTATTATTAAGCAGCAAATTAGGAGTTTGTTCAGGGAAAATTCCCTTTACAAACTCTTTACAACAAAGAGATTATCAATACTGTAAGTGTTACCATCTTCATCTCCTGACTTTCAAAAAAACCTTTAAATATTCATGATCTTGAGTTTACTGGTCCATACAAGACTGTCTTGAGCAAGCAACATGCAGCTAACATCAGAAGGGCTTGCATGCTTTGACTGTTAGAAACACAGGCTGAGGGGAAATAGAACTGGCACGACGCTTGTGTTCTTGTCACCTCTTAACAAGCCTAAGCTTGACAGTTGCCTTCCTGCTTGGCTCTCTGCTAAAGGAACAGCACAACACCTTACACCTGTTGGCAGGCAGACAAAATGAAACCACTCTGCCAGAGTGCTTTTAGTCAGAAATGAAGTGTTGCTTTGCTTTTATATTCAGGAAGAGAAGTATTTATCTGGCTCCAGTCAGCAATGGCCTGTTGTGAGGCTGTAAAAAAAACTATTCTGTCGTGTCACTAACTTCAAGGTTGTTCTGACATTCGGGCTCAGGCTCTGTCAACGCTGCTTGTCAAGATGAAGAGAGTCTTTGATATGCATGATCTGAATAATACATTGAAGACGACATGTTGTCCTCACGGACCTTTCGAGATCACTCTAGCCACTAAATAAAATGTCATCAATCACGAATGGCCCTTGATTCTTGAAGCTTCAGTCTTTGGGAGATGACACTGTAATTTTTACATGGATATGCCATTAAATTTCTAACTGGTAAAAGTGTTTGAGACCTATATTGAAGGTAATTTTGTATTCACTGTATGTAACAAACTACAGAAGTAAAATGTTCAAGCATCCAAGACACTTGGAACTTTGAAACAGAATAATCGCTTACACCAGCATACAGCAAAATCAATTATTTAAGGCTGCTGGTGAGACAAAGGAAAGGGGCATCTAAAATCTAAAAGAAAGAACAAGAAAATCGGTAACACTTTATGTAAGAAGCTTCAATTTGTTAAGATTAATGCAATCATGAAAAATATTGATAATATAGGTGAATATTCATCTTTACAGATACTGTTTAAATTACTTTATTAAATTACAAATTAGTTTGGATAAATTAACATAATTTGATATATTATCAACATACTTGAATTAACAGCTAATAATATAAGATAACACTTTAATTTGGGACTGATTCCCGTATTAACTACTTGCTTATTTGCATGCACATTACTAGTATATTAGCTGTTTATTAGTACATATAAAACACACATTAACGTCTTATTCTGTACAACAATATTCTACATCCCTTAATCATACCCAATACCTAAACGTAACTACCTTACTAACTACAGTCAAGGGAACTGGAATGGCCATAGCAGAAGCTTGATTTTGTGCCCAGTGACCCATTTTTTGAGTTGTTTTTAAGGTTTGTTTTTGGATTATTGTCCGGTTGGAAGATCCAAACATGGCCCATTATACGAATTCTAACAGAGTCAGTCACGTTTTGATTTTATATCTGTTGGTATTTGATATAATCAAAGATGCCATGTATCTAAACAAGATATCCAGGACCTCCAGCAGAAATATAGGCCCACAACATTAAAGATACAGCAGTATATTTCATTGTACACATGGGGTACTTTTTATCCCTGTGTGCACCAAACCCATCTTGAGTGTTTGTTGCTAAAAAGTTTTTTAGTTACATCTGACCATAGAAGCCAGTTTCATTGAAGTTCCAGTCATGTCTGATAACAGAATATGCTGGGGATTGTTTTTGGATGAGAGCATTTTCTTTTCTTGATTTTTTTTTCTTGAAAC